CCCCAAAACCCCAAAACCCCAAAACCCCTTTTTAACAAATTATTATTGAATTGTTTATGCCAGTCTTTCTCCCCTTTGGGTATTCAAGAATCTTCTTAGTAAAGTTCCAGCCTAGACTCCTGTTTTTAGAGCAAAATAGAAGCCCTCTAACGACTCTGGAGGGAATTCTGTCTTATCTTAGACAAATCTAAAGGAAATTGTCTAGTTTTCTCATTATTTTGAAACTTCAGATCAGTAAAGTTAACAGAGAAGTCATTAGCAAGTGTTCGAGGATTTTTTACTAGTTTGTTCCTATTGCTTATACTTGGAGAGAAGAGTCTTCTTTCTGCCTCTTTTATCTCAATAGTCGCTCTTCCTTGCCTCTCCTGGGTTTCCTTCATTACGTTTAGATTTCTGATTATGGGTCTTTGAATAGCTTTATCAACAGTCATAGTCCTCTTTTTATTATCTTGAATAAAATTCTTATGCTTTCTGAAAGTTTCGAATATAGGGTTTTGAACTTTCAGTTGCTTTGTGGCATTCATTTGGTTTATAGTAGTTGTAAGTCTTTGGACCTTACTTCCAATAAGAGCAATCTTTTCTTCAAGTTCTGTGATGTTTGAATTAAATAAGCTTTGTTCCACTAAATTGTGATATACTTGGGCGTCATTTAGAGGTGTGTTTGGTAATTTTTCAGGAGCAGCTTTGGCCTCGTTATTTCATAGAAGTGTTTAGATCTAAATTGGTTCCTTCAGGCTTTCGGATTGATGATTTCAAGCTTGAGATCTTATCTAATTTCATTGAGAGCTAGAGTTTAATTATAATGATACCATATTCTTAACTTTACTGGTCCTGATTGTGCTATATCTTGATAGATTATTTTGAATATAAACTTTGAATTTCTTTTCTCATTCTAAAATATTTTAGATCAAGTTACATTGAGGCTCATGATTCTTTAATAAATTCTTTAGTTTTCAGGTCAAGATCTGATTCGTTGCTGATATTACTTTGGTCGTTTTCTTCCTTATTCAGATCAATTTTAGCTAAAATTATTCGAAATTTTAAAATAGAAAATAATACCCTCAATCGTTTCAAGTTTATCTAGAATTTTTGAGATTTGGAGTTCGTTCTGTTCACTTTTCCTTTCGTTTTTCTTTATAGAACTTTCAAGTTCTTTAAACTTATCTTCAAGTTCGGATACAATATTCTTATGAGCAACTACCATCGACTTGAGGTGGATAGGGTCGATATCTTTAAACCTTTTAGTAAGTTTTTCTGTCTCCTGCTTCATTTTATAAAAATCATGCTTTATCTTCCCTTGTTCTTCCTTTTGGATGTTGACTAAAATTTCTTGTTGTGCTAGATTTTGATGTATTTAGGTTACTGCTGTACTTTGTTTTGATTTCTCCCATGAAGTCTTCTACTTCGCTTTTAAACTTATGCAAGTTTCTTTCAATCTGCCTCTTTGAGCCTAAAAGTGGTGAACTGTACATACTAATGCACAAATTTTGCTTATGATTTAACTCTCCGGATAGATTGTTGGAATAAAACCTGAACTTCTTATGAAGTTCTATATTTCTTTGGTCGAGATCGTTTAAATAATGATCGAATTCTTTGACTAAAAATTAGCTTATGGGCTCACTGATTTCTCTGAGAGAGTTGAACCTTGTTTGAGTGAGATCAAGTCTATCAAATTTTTGATTATTAATATCCTATAATATAAAACAGAATGCTACAGCTTCTGTTAGAGCCTTTTGTTTTATATAGTCTTTGATTTTAGCTTCATTGATGCCTATTTGTTCATAAAACCAATCTTTTATATGGTCAAAGTCATCTTTGAGGTTCATTTGGTTATTTTAAGCTTCCAATATTGAGACTATTTTCTTTACTCTTATCTTTAAGGTAGTCAATCTTCCTATCGATTTCCACATATTTATTTAGAGGTTTCTGCTTGGAAGTGAATGCTATCTTTCTCCAGATTTTCAATGACATAGTTAGATCTTTCAGCTAAAGATTAGAGAGAAATGTACCGTTACGATTATAGAAAGTTATGAAATCATCAAACTGAGTGGAGTCTTTTATTACAGAAGTAATTATGTTCTGGATCGTGTCCTTGATGATTAAGGGAATATTAGTCCATTTTTCTATTTTTACTTGTTTAAGATCATGCACTATAAATAGCTGCCTTAGGCATACCTTTATTACTAATCTTTGTATCAGATACTCTCATATTCATGTACTGAATTTCTGGGTTAGTGATTGTATTATCCATTTTGTTTTCAATTACAAATTTCATAAACGGGGTTTTGGGGTTTTGGGGTTTTGGGGTTTTGGGGTTTTGGGGTTTTGGGG